AGTACAGTAATGATTCAGAGGTAGACAAAAGATCAGTGGTACAGAAGAGAGAGTACAGAAATAAAACTACCTATATATGAAAACTTGATTTATGACATAGGAAATTTCACATATCAGGGAAGAAATGAAGAACAATTTTAATAAACAGATGGAAAGAGTGAATTCATATCCCTGTATGAATTCCTGTAACAAAAATCAACTACTAGGAGATTTGAGAAAATGTGAAAGGCAAAACCATAAAGCATTTAGGTTGATAGAGAATGCCATCAAAAGTTTATCAAGGTATACCATGAGAATAACCAACTGAATTCAATATTGAAATTACTTTAATCTTTTAATTTCCCTCCATATTTTATAATCAATTAAACAGCAATTTTGTCAAAGCAAGTAGACTATCTGATTAAGAATATGATGCTAATGTAATACAGAGCTGCCAATGTCCAATGACTTCACATCTTAAAGATAACGCACATTTATGCTCTCATTTAAGTTCAATGTGTTATTGTCAGGATTTGTTAGAAAGGATAAAAAAACAAAAAACCTCATGGTTCATTCAGTAAGTGTCTATATCAATGTATGTGGCTATATCTCATTTCAAATATTAGCAATGATGTCCATGGTAAAATCTAAATAGTGTTTCAGGAAAGTGGCCTTGTTAGTTGGACACTTCCCACTGTTTCTTGAACCAGAGATCCAAAGGCTGGTTTCTCCAATTTGGCATTTTTACTAAATGCCAAACCTATCTTTGGATGCGTCAGGGAAGAAACACAATGTATTAAGGTAAGATCTCCCTTGGGAAGAGTAAGAACTATACCAAAAAAAGGGAGGGGGGGAGAAATGGACCAAATAGATAACATATTCTTAGGACTTTCAAATAATTTTGAAACTAAAAGTGCCCAGGATATAATTACAAGGAACACATCATTCACTTGGGGAACTAATAACACTGTATATATGACTGAAAGGGATGAGTTGGAAAGAACACTTATCCCAAGATAATTTTGGTTTTACAAATAGAAAGTATGTGTCCATCATACCAAAAAAATTCATTCCCAGTATATCTACCATCAAACACCCTCCCCTTCATCCAAAACACACAACACACATACATACAAGGTAGATGTTTTCAATCTAAACTGTAAGCCTCTGGCTCACATGAAAACAAAACGATTTTAACCACACACAAGCTCTAGCACTCAAATTTGTAGTTTCTACATGCTGCCCACACAGCACTTTGTGAGCATGTGATTAGGAGGAATGATGCACAATCACACCACATTCCTTCCCTCAGCTCACACATCAAGAACTTGCCCTCTCAGCTGCATTCTTCTCCAAACAGCCATGGTCACCTTAGCAACCCAATGCTCCTAATATGGACAGCTGGTCCATTTAAAGTCAGCCCTTCTTGGCAGGAAAAATGCTTGTTCTTCAAACTGGGGGAGAGAGGAGAGGTTTTCCTTTCAATACACATTACAGGGGTTGATTTAACTTGATCAGCACTTTTGTTCTGTGGCAGCAATTTGTGTCAAGTTTCAACCTATTCTGAGTTTTTGGTTTTTTGGTTTTGTTTTTCTTTTTTAAATCTGAAAGCAAGCGGCTAAAAAAAAAAAAAAAGGCAGCTCATATGGAATTCTAAAGAAGACTGGAACGTGAAACAAAAAAGGTATCTGAAATAACTGTATTCTTTCATAAAAAGATAAAGTTATCCACATTTTTTAAAGTTCAGATTTACTTAAATTACATTTGAAGTCTTAATATACAGTAAGAAATCAGAGTCAGAAGACCTGTCTTTTTAACACCATAGCCTATTTTTGAATAACAATAACATTGCTAAACTTCAAAGTCCTATAACTCCAATCTACTCAATAGACTATGAGTCAATCTGTGTTCCTTTATCCCACCACCTACATGTGAAATCTCTCACAATCTTTCCACAGGATCAAATGTCAACGAGGTATTGAAACCAAATGGTTAGTATATCCAAGGGCACTCCAGACCTAGAATGCCCCAGGATAAAACTGGATTCCTCAAAACCAAACTTGATTTGTACTTATACCACTAAAGCTGGGCCTGAACCAAATTAAGTCACTCAGGAGAAAACATACAGGTTTATAACACACTTTTCCTGATTTTCATACTATAAACAAATGATCTGGGGGGAAGGGATTACCATATTCTGAAATATGTGAGATCAAATTGCTCGTTCCATTCCCACAAACTGGGGATTCTAATTTTCCCATCCATCAAAACTAGACACCTAATCCTTAAGTAAACAGGCATATTCTAAACTTTAAAAAATCTAAATTTATGGCATTTGTTATAAATTGGAAAATTTTTTTAAGATTTTATTTATTTGAGAGAAAGCACTCAAGTGCATGAGTGGGGGGGGCGGGTAGCAGAGGGAGAGGGACAAGCCGATTCCCCGCTGAGTGGAGAGGCCCACGTGGGGCTGGATCCCAGGATCCTGAGATCATGACCTGAGCTGAAGGCAGACGCTTAACAGACTGAGCCACCCAGGTGCCCCAAATTGGAATTATTTTTGAAATAATGTTCTATATAACAGTAGCAGACAAAATTCAAGTTAGTTTATTAAAGCTATTTTAATGAACCTTAAGGTTAAGTGACTATCAATAATTATTTGTTGCCTAGATTTTTGTTTGTATATGTGTGTTTTTAAAACTTTTTAGGCTATGAGGCTCTTCCAGGTTAGAAACATTTTTTACTTTAAAACTAGTAATTAAATATTCTATATAGAGAAAATATCAGTTGACAGGGTGGCAGTGTAGATTAGTAAAAAGAACCTAAAGCTCACTCCACTCCTAGTTTCATCATTTGTAAAATGAGAATACTATCTGTTTTATTTATGCCATCTCTTAAGATAACAAAGTGAGAATAATGAAATTACTATGCCATATAAAATACTCAGAAACTAATGAAACTAGAAAAAGGGACTATGTTACCTGATGTCTAATTCTCTGAACTGTTATTTTTAAAAAGAGTGTGGGGAGTATTCAACAATGCATGGGATACTAACTCAATAACAACTTGCAGAGTTGCTGGTCTTCCCATCAAAGATCTTATAAATACTTAGGTGCTGACATATAAATAAATAAATAAACCTCAACATTGGCTTCACTTTTAGCAAACATGAATTCTCTTACCCTTTTCCATTCCATTACTGAATCAGTAACACATTTTCTCTTAGCCCCCAGAACTAAGTGCCCCTAAGATCCTCCTCCCACACAAACTGCTCCCCACAAGGTACCTTTAGATTCTTCTATCTGTTGGAAGCCCTTCCCTGATCCAATCACAGCTATCATTATCCTTCTTCTAAAGTCAGGGATCACCCTATCCTCTCAGAGGAGTGTTCCTCTCTTTCCTCTTCATTGCTGCAAGGCATACCATCACCATGGACCTGGAGCTTCTAAAGTTCCCACTCTCTGGTAGTTTCTAGTTAGGGGATCCAAGAGAAGTTGCTTTTGCTGATAATGTGCTACTACAGATGAAATGGTATTTCTGCATTCCAAATTTAGAAACCTGCATTTGTACTCTTCTTACTCTGTATTAGATTCAGTGATGGGAATTCACAGAACATGGTTATGCCTCAAAGAAATAAAAGAAAAAATAAGATGAATGTTCAAATATAATACAATGTAGAAATTAAAAAGTAATAGCCAATGTAGAAGCTCCAAAATATTACTGCTATCTTTCAACTATTAAGCTTTTGTAACTAACACTGGAGATTCGAGCATTTTTTTTTTAAAGATTTTATTTATTTATTTGAGAGAGAGAATGAGAGAGAGAGAGCATGAGAGGGGCGAGGGTCAGAGGGAGAAGCAGACTCCCTGCCGAGCAGGGAGCCTGATGTGGGACTCGATCCTGGGACTCCAGGATCATGACCTGAGCCGAAGGCAGTCGCTTAACCAACTGAGCCCCCCAGGTGCCCAGATTCAAGCATTTTAACACAGTTTCTAGAAGAAAAATACATGTTTTTGTTAGGCTCCACAATTCTTTCCTTTGACTGTTCTAACAGACTCTTAGCCTTTGAGACAGATGTTTATATTTCCTCTTATCTTCCATAGCATCTAATTCCATTCTTCAGATTCAATTCTAATATAAAAAAATGACCACAAATTGGGACTTTTCTTAAACACTCATTTAATGTTCCTTATACACTTAAGGAATTTTACATTAACAGTTTCATTTTAATAAATAACCTAAAATACAATGTACCAGTTAGACAAAACAAATTAGATGAACACTCAGCAACATGGCCTAATCTTAGAAATAAAGAGGGAGGTGGGTGAAGGGGACTACAAGAATTTGACTAAGATCTAATATGTAATTTAAAATACATGAAATAATAAAACCTTTTATAAGACATAAAGGGATACATATCAAATATATTAAAAGGTCACTTATATGGGGACTAGTTATAAAGGAAAACAGAAAAACAGTCCTTTAATGAACCAATGATGATGGGTATGACACAAACTGAGGAATATCATTAACTCAATACTCCTGTACTTGAGGTTAAAAACTGATACTTCAAACATAACCATCCTCTTTCATAGTAAACAGAGTTGCTCAAAAATTTAAACAATTTTTTAAATTGTGGTAAAGTATATGTAACATAAAATTTATCATTTCAACCATTTGCTAGTGTACAGTGAACAGTAATTTTTATTAAAGTTGTCATTGTCCTCTTAATACCTCTGACTGTGTAGGAGGATGATACTATATAGATATGAATAATCTTGTTTGGATTATCTTCTACTCTAAAAAAGCTATGGGGACACCTGGTGGCTCAGTCAGTTGGGCTTCTGCTTTTGGCTCAGGTCATGGTCCCAGGGTCCTGGGATCGAGTCCCACATCGGGCTCCTTGCTCAGCGGGAAGCCTGCTTCTCCCTCTGCCTGCCGCTCCCCCTGCTTGTGCTCTCTTTCTCTCTGACAAATAAATAAATAAAATCTTAAAGAAAAAAAAAAAAAGCTATGAAAGAATCGGCTTTTATAAAAATAAATATTTACCCAACACTTACAGGAGAGCCCTAAGGGTACCAGACAGTAGTATGATCCATCATCATTGTATCACAGATTGTATTAATGTTTAAGAATTCAAACTTCATTTGCCCAAAGAACAGGGACAAAATGTAACAGATCAAGTTCACTAAGATTAAATCTTCTGAAATTTCTGTTTTCACTTTAAGCACAATGGTCCAGGAAAAGAACGATCTGGATTTCTCCTGAAGTACTGCCTTTGAGTAGTGCCCTGGAGGATCAGACAGTGCTACACACAGGTTCCACGACTCCTCCCTTTACCCTCTAGAGACAGAAGAAAAATATAGGGGAAAAGCTTCACAAGAACTTGGAAGTAAAAACTATTGATGCTTTGCTCCCCCACTCTCTCCTCAGCAGCCAACAGGTCTCTTTATTTTAACCCTTTGTTTTCAGTTATCAGGATAAAAACTGACCTGATTAAACCTGAGGCAATTCCAAAAATAGGTGGGAAAGATGTGTCTGGGAGTGCATGTTCCCCTCAGCACAAAGGACAATAAATGAGAAAGAGTTACTGATCTGAATAATTCACTTTATAAACATTTTCCAGTTGACAGATTAAATTCATCTGCAGTGATCACTACTACCTATACCAAAGAGTTCCTGAGAAAATTTAAACAATGTAACTTCTTAAGGCCAAGCAATTGATTTTAAGCACACCAATAGGTGATTTTACTATCTACTCATTTGAACATTTCATCCTTCAGACGTCTAAAAAGTATAACAATCTAAATCAATGTTGATTTAAAATTCATTGTAAAGATGATCATTTAGATTTTTTAATACTAAATGTTACTAAATATTTTATTACCTACCTAGTAGAAAGCATTCCACTTTTTAAACTAAATGTAGGAGTTCTATAATTTTCATTGGTGGAAACATAGGTAAGTAATCTCCCTTAACTTAAAGCCCCTAAAAGAGCTTCCACGACTCCTCTACCACCCCAAGTCATTTAGGTAATGTCCACTGAGGTAAAAGTTGAATGGGCCCCAAGGGAAGAAGAAAACTTTTTTCCTAAAATGGAAAAACCCAATCCTAAGGATGCTAAGAATAAGTTCCTTAATAATGCTAAGAATAAGGGTGCCATGAAAAGCAGTACTTGAGTTCCAAAGGTGACTACTTTTATCACACCCTTTTAATCTTAACTCCAAATAAGATGAGGTGCACCTTGTTTGCAAATTCTGAGGTAGTAAAGGAGGATCTAATAGTGATAATCTTGTAATAATCAAGAAAAGATATGAAATAAATATAGGGGAAAGGATTAAAAAAATCAAGAGCAATTAAGCCTATATTCAACTATATTTGTTTTATTACTATATTAACAATTTCTTACCTTGCGGAATTCTCTTCTGAGAAAAACAGATACAATTCTGTTCCTAAAAAAATTTCAGGTAGAAAAGTTGAAATGTTAGTTTCAAAACAGGAAGCCTCTTAAAAATAAAAAGTTAGCAAAATGCTGACAGAGTACATTCAGAATATCATGACATTTGGTATTACCAAAACTTAAGAGACAATAAGTCTCTAATAATAAAAGTATTTTAATATTTTTATTAAAATATTTATAAGTTATTATTTTTATTATTAAAAAAACACTATTCTACTATCAGATCATTTCTTCTAGGTACATCGTAATGTCTTGGCACATTCTCATATTCTAAAACATCAGTACTCAATTGGGTTTTAGTCTTACCAAGATTTAGTATCCTGAAGGGTAGTTTTTACGTATAATCTGTATGTCGTAAAATTCACCCCTTTAAAGTGTAAAGTTTAGTGGTTTTTTACCATATTCACAAAGTTGTATAATCATCACCACCATATTATTCCAGAACATTTTAATTACCCCAATAAGAAACCCTGTACTGAAGAGTACATTTTTATTTGCAGGGAGAAACATCTGAAACAAATTTAATTTTAAAAGATATAAAAGAAGCATAATCTTCATGACACTATGATCAAAATGATGGGTTTTTTTTTTTTTTTAAATGTATAGAACAGAGGCTGGGAAGGAAAACAAATATCCAAACATTTTAAAAGTAGCTGTGTTCGGATAGTGGTATTATGGTGACTCTTTTTCATATATTTCCTCTAAAGCTATGATTTTATAATATTACCTTTATGGTTCCTAAAAAGGTACATAAGATGAGGTGCACCTTGTTTGCAAATTCTGAGGTAGTAAAGGAGGAGTTAATATATTTGTGATAATCTTGTAATAATCAAGAAAAGATATGAAATAAATATAGGGAAAAGGATTAAAAAAATCAAGAGCAATTAAGCCTATATTCAACTATATTTGTTTTATTACAACACAAACATACATTTTCTAGAGCTACATGCTCTGATTTGTACTACAAACCAAAGTAAAAACAGAAATACAATCCAAAGTAAAAACAGAAATACAAGTTGACACTTAAAGTCCACTATACTTTTTATTCAATGCTTTTCAAAGTAGATAAAATAAGTATAAAGTTTAAAAAAATTTTGGCCACACTTACTAATCTGGTTGAAAAGCCACAGCTGCATCTTACTTTATGACAAATTGACTGTTTCATCACTTTTGCATCTGGGCATCTACTTCTTAATGGTCATTTCTGAAATAAAGATGTAGTCATTAAGAATATAACAAAAACATCAAATCTTTAAGACAATTTTCTAAATTTTCATGTCTATAAAAGGAACTATCAAAAAATTTCTTGAGCAACCTTCTAATAAAAAACATTAACAGGGCTGAGGATGAGGTGTGAGAGATGGAATATATGCTATCATCCCACAGGACCAGAATTATACAGTTAGGTTACACACACTGAGTATAAAGATCTATAAATTCTTCAGTCCTCAATGCCTTCCACCCACCAGGGTCTTGCAATTCCTAAGAATGTCATTTACAGACTAGAAAAAGAAAAAAGGAAGATGTAGGAGGGGAGCCCTAAAACTCCACATTTGAAAACAATAAATTAGCTGATGATGCGTGTTTGTCTCTTTCCCCCTCACACCTATAGAAAGGAAGCTCCAGAGGAGATTTTTATTGGCTTTATTTACTGATACCTTTTGAGCACTTAAGACAATGACTGCCACGCAGTAAGTGCTCAGTAAATATTTATTGAAAGAATAAACTGATGAGTGATGTAATTTTAATTGATGAGATATTTAACCTGGTATTATTTCAAAATGGCAAATTCTCAAAATGCCATTTTTCCACGCATACACCATTGATATCAATGCCAACTACATCATCATTATTGTTTTTTCCTCAGTAAACAAAGCCATAATTAAAAGACAAGACAAGGTACAAGCCTTCAAGGACCAGAACAAAGGCACGTATCACTTTGTAATTTTGTTATTGCAATCTTTGGGGAAAACTTCTAAAAGGGGAATTGCTACATATATAATTTTGCTAAATATTGCTAAATGTTGCAAGTAGGCTTTTTTTTTTAACATGTATGTTCTTTAGCTGATTGTTGTGGAGACTGCTAGGAATATGAGAAACTCTTTTACATGGAATAAAAAGTTGACAAGTCTCAAGAATAACCCTCAAGGAGACCAGTAGTTCCCTACTTCCCATGCTATATCTGAATTAGTATTACACACAATGCTATTCTTTTTGTAAAAAAAAAAAAAAAAAGAGAAAAATGGGAAGACTACAAATATTAATACAGACTTGGGGTTTTTTTCTTTCAAAAGGAAAAAAGCACTGGAAGGATAAACCCAAATCATTTTTAAATGATTATCTACAGAAAAAAGAGAAAGCAGGCTGGAAGGGGCAGGGATGGAAGTCAGACTTCTCAGACCTTGTTTTACAGTTTTTACATTGGAGACATATTTTAAGATCAAATGAACATCAAATGATAATGACATTTTGAACATCAAAATGGTAATGACTACCATTGAAACATTAAATATATTTTTCTCTTTTAAAGATTTATTTATTTATTTGAGAAAGAGAGTGCACGCAAGCGGAGGAAGGGGCAGAGGGAGAGAATATCCAAGCAGACTTCCACTGAGCGCGGAGCCCAGCTTGGGCTCCATCCCATGACTCATGATATCAGGACCTGAGTGGAACACCAAGAGTCAGATGCTAGACTGACTGAGCCACCCAGGTGCCCCCGAAACATTAAATATATTTTTTAAAAATCATGGTCATCTTTAGAGGCTGCTACAGCACTAACTTATTATTCTGAAAGTTGGTAAAGGGAAAGAATCAAGCACTTATCCTGGCTTTCTTATATGAAAAATACCTTAGAGTAACCAAGCAGCCAATAAGTGAAAGCTCTTTTTTATAGGATTCCAAATTATAAATGTAGAAGGAATGATAAAATTAGAAAATCATTTTTTAATACCTAATGAAAAAATGGATCTAAAAAATGATCAATGGTTGCTAAAACCATTAGGTAAAAGACTAATGGGAAACTTTATAATGGATAAAATCAAGTAGACAAAATTTGAACCCAGCAATAACATCATTTAAAAATGGGTCAAACACTATGTGCAGAAATATTCATTGCCATGCATTAAGTGTTCATCCTGGGAGCTCCAGTTTCAAAAGACATCCATAATGTTACCACTTTAACACTTCCCTTTTGACCACCATGATCCACGCCAACCTTAGTTCTATCTGCATTACTCTAATAGTTCCCTATCTGATCTCCCAGCCTCTCCCTTTGCTCACCTCAATAAGTCAGTCAGATTCGTCCTTTTCAAAAGAAAGTCAGATCATGTCATTCTTCTGCTCAAACCCTCTAATTGAGTCCATCTCACTACTCTAAAAGCCAAAATCGCTAACAAAGGCCTTAAGGACCATGATCTGTTATTTCCCTTCCACATCTCTCGGACATCATCTCCTACCACTTTCCCCCTTATTCACTCCATTCCAGCCACACTGGCCTCTTGCCTCTCCTTAAACACTTCAAGCACGTTCTCACTTCAGGGCCTCAGGACTTGTCTTTCCCTCTGCCTGGAACACCAGGTATCTGTCTGTCTTATTCCTCCTCCACTTCCTCTAGGACTTGGTTTTTACAAGTGGTCTCATCAAGAGATAGGTCCTGGTACCCTAGGCAAAATATCTGCCTCAGATTTTCTTATCTGGCGGAAAATATGTAAGGAGAAATATTCTGGAGATGATAATCATCCAAAATATGAAAGTCACCAATTACCATATCTTTGTGTCTAAATATCTGGAGAACTATACTGTCCCTTTTAAAAGATTCTCATGGTCCCAACTTCAAAGAATTAATGAAGATATAGCACGATAAAGAAGCACAATAGTGTGGGGTTTTTTTTTGGTTGTTGTTTTATTTTTAAATCACCTGTATTATAACTCTAGGAAGGAATGGTATATGATGTGAATTAAATGCGTCCCATTAAAGGGGCACCTGGGTGACTCAGTCGGTTAAGCATCTGCCTTCAGCTCAGGTCATGATCCCAGGGTCCTGGGATCAAGCCCCGCGTTGGGCTCACTGCTCAGCGGGGAGTCTGCTTCTCCCCCTGCTCATGTTCTCGTTCTCTCAAATAAATAAATAAAATCTTTAAAAATAAATAAATAAATAAATGAGTCCCATTAAAAAACAACAACTAGCAAAATAAATGGCCCTTTCCTTGCACTCCTTTAGGGACTTCTCTTTGGGATTACATTATAAAGTTCCAAGTAATCTCAGGAAAAGTTTAAACTTTCAAATTTGTTACCTTTAGGCACCATGACCACCAGAAAGAATCAAAAGAACTCACTAACTCTAACATGACTAGACTAGCTATGACATGGTAGGGATGTTTGAACTTATTTTTCTTTAAATAAACAAACTCCCCTGGGCTAAAGCCTACTCTGCCTTTTAAACATCCTGTGGCTGGCAAGCTTCAAAATCTTAAGAGAGATAGCCAGGGGACAGAGAAAACAGCAAGTATGACTCAGTGATCACATTTAATAGTCTCTGAAGACCAAAACAAAGATACCAGTTCTGGCAAGAGATCTCTAGAACAGCCCCAAAACTGACTTATCCACATACCTTTCATCTGAACAATCTATTTTCACTTAGTTTAAGGTTCACAAAGCACTTGTTATGTGCCTATCAGACCTTAGGTACAAAAATAAACCAAGAGCACAAGAAAACAATCAGCAGTTTAATGTTAAAATCTGCTTTGTTTGGGGAGGGGGGTGAAGAGAAGTCTTGAGTATTTTTGTGCAGACATAACCCCACTCATTTAGAAATCAGACTTCAGCAAGATCAACCATGTCAAAGAAGGCTTGTGATATTAAAGTAACCCTTCTTGAGCAACTCTTTTTTGAGAGAGAGAGAGGGCATGTGCACACAGAAGGGGGGGGCAGGGACAGGGACAAGGAGAGAGAATCTCAAGCAGGCTCCACGCCCAGCGCAGAGCCCCAAGCAGGGCTTGATCTCATGTCCCTGAGATCATGACCTGAGCAGAAATCAAGAGACAGTCGCTCAACCGACTGAGACACCCAGGTGCCCCCTTCTTGAGCAACTTCTGTGTGCCAATTATTTACATTAGCTCACTTAATTCTCAGAACTTCTCTATGGAAAAGGTACTAACAAAGCACACAGAGTGGTTAAATAACCTGTCCAAACCAGAAAGAAACAGCTCCAGGATGCAAAATCTGTTTTCTTTTCACTATTATAACCTGCAGTAAACTGGAATGAAATTATTAGTCACAAATACAACATATGCCCTATAGGAGTAACATGTAAATCCAGGTGGCTCATATAAGAAATGTTCCATTCTTCCAAAGCTGCTTTAGATAAGAGGACAAGGGGGGTGCTGCCTGGGTGGCTCAGTCGTTAAGCGTCTGCCTTCGGCTCAGGTCATGATCCCAGGGTCCTGGGATTGAGTCCCACATCAGACTCCGTGCTCAGCGGGAAGCCTGCTTCTCCCTTTCCCACTTCCCCTGCTTGTGTTCCCTCTCTCGCTGTCTCTCTGTCAAATAAATAAATAATAAATAAATAAATAAAAATTTTAAAAAAGGACAAAGGGGAAGTTTCACTGTTATATATTAATAAGAAACTTATGGCATTAAGAGATGAATCAGAAAAATATGCAACATTGAGGTCTAAGGGAGTCACACCATAGCTCACTAACTAGTATTCTTTCACAATGATTAACTTGTATCACCTCTAAGTCACTGATGGCTATTCCATACACTCAGAGAAGTCTGGGAAGAAACATTAAGATTTAACGGACGGGGTACACAGGTGTTTATCAAAACAGTTTCTGTACTTTTCCAGATGTTCGAAATATTTCTTTCACTCTTGATATATAGATATGTAGATATATACAAATACATACATTAAAGTATCCCATTAATTTCTTAAAATTTACAACAAAATTAGTAGAGTTAAGATTCCTAATTTTCCTTTTCTAGAAAATTCTCCCACGTGGAACACCTTAGTTCCTGACTCCATGGGATGACACGTATTGGCCTCAGTTCTTTATACTCAACAGAACCTAATGAGTCATCAGTGAGAAAATATTTTGTAGAAATATTTTTTCAGAAATGTAAATTTGATTATTATTAGATGCACCCACTGCCTAAGACACAATAAAATAAATAAAAGTAACATGCACATTGTAAAATAAAAAGGTA